GAGCATATACATTTATGCATGAATGTTTGTTTAACTTTTTGTCTGATTTAAACTCACACACCTGTAAAAAAATTATTATATGTCAGTTGGGATAGTGGAAATTTCATGATAAAAGACCATTAATTATTATGTCTGGTTATGATATTACGATCTGGTTATTTAGAAGTGTCTCTGTACTTTAGACATTCATCGTGCAGTATTTACACATTAACATTATATGTGGTGGAGGTTTTGCTTCAAAAAATGTAGATATAGAGAGACTGGGGACATTTTGTAGATGGGTCCATGGGGTTTATTGTACTAATTTCTCTATTTTCTATGCCTAAAATGTTCTCTAATAAAAGCCATTTTCTTAAAAGGCTCACCATAATTGTCAGCACGCTGCTGTTTTATTCCAGCCAAGCCAGCTTCTCTCTCACTCTCTTCTGTGTGCCTCATCTTGTTTTCCTTCCATTGCAAAGCTCCAGATCCCTCGAGTCTCCTTCTCTTTTCCTCATCACAGTTGCCCCAACTCAGCCCAACTCAGCCCACATTCTGCTTTCACCTCAGCCTAGTGTCCCTGCTTATCTCCCCTCATCTAATCCCACAATATCTCCTAAATTGAAATAAATTAGGTTTGTATCACAGCACGGCAGGGCATTAGGTTCCATCTGCTTATGCTATATGGCAGAACTCCTGGCCTGATCTCAGACTCCCTGTGTCATGGGGCTGGTTAGCCTTATCCCCCACTCTTTCAGGGACACAGGGAACAAGAACAACTGCCCTCACCTTCCCTTTTAATTTGGTGTGAGCATAAACACAAATGTAGATAAACCTCCTGGAACGTGTCAGTTCTGAACATAGAAGTTTAGCATGGCAGAGACTTCAAGAATTTTTTCAAACGTTTGCATTTCTCTTGTTTGAGTTAAATTTTTAATTTGCTGGTTATTATTTTTGTTTTGTTTTGTTTTTTCTGGCAGCTGGCTGGCATGGGGATTTGAACCCTTGACCTTAGTGTTATCAGCACCACACTCTCATCAACTGAGCTAGTCAGCTAGCCCTGCTGACTATCCTTATTACTCTTAACATGGTACATAAAATTTGGTTAAATTTGGACAAAATCACTGTAAAGACCCCTGGAAAATTTAAAATCCTTTGATTGTCATCTGATAGTTTGGATATGTTGCCCCCCCCAAAGCTCATGTCAAAATCTGATCCACAAATATGGCAATATTGGGAACAGTTTGGCTCATGGGGGGCGGATTTCTCATGAATAGATTAATAATCTCTCTGAAGTGGGGGATAGTGAGTGAGTTCTTGCTCTATTAGTTCCCATGAGAGCTGGTTGTTTAAAAGACACTGGAACCTCCCCCCTCTCTCTCTCTTGCTTCCCCTTCCATGTGATCTTGCACCCACTGGCTGCCTGCTGCTTTCCACCATGAGAAGCAGCCTGAGGCCCATACCAGATGCAGCTGTCCTAGAATTATGAGCCAAATAAACCTCTGTTCTTTATAAATTACCCAGTCTCAGGTATTCTGTTATAGCAACACAAAAATGGACTAATACATCATTAAAACAAATCCACATAAATGATTGCAAGCTAAAAAGGGAACTACGGGCCGGCCCGTGGCTCACTCGGTAGAGTGCGGTGCTGATAACACCAAGGCCGTGGGTTCAGATCCTATATAGGGATGGCTGGTTTGCTCACTGGTTGAGCGTGGTGCTGACAACACCAAGCCAAGGGTTGAGATCCCCTTACCGGTCATCTTTTTAAAAAAAATAAATAAATAAAAAATAAAAAGGGAACTACATATACATGTACACGTGAAAAGATTAGCATATATTTAATCTCCAATAAAATAATGAAATAATTACACATACACATATGTACAACTGAAACCACAGAATTTATTATTAAGAAAGAAATGGTACAGAAATAAGCAGTATCCTGGTACATGGCAGGAGCTCACTCAGGAGCAGTCTGTACCTGCCCACACCTCCCTCATGTCTAGTCCATGGGAGCAGCAGACACACACCGAGATCTTGGAGTCACTGTCCATATCCACAGCTGGGCATTCCACCTCTCACCAGGTAATGCACATCTTCCTTCAAGTGCACCTACATATCCACTCACGGCCAGGTCTCTTCAAAATGAATCTTAAGGAGCATTTCCTCAGAGCATTAACCCTGGTTAGTGCAGTTTCCCCGTTCTTGTCCTTATGGACTGTGGTGAGGCACCCTCACAGGATCACCCCACATCCTTTCTGGACCTGTGATGCCATCCTCCCCCCCATCGCAGCCCTATCCAAGATTCCCTCCCCTTCCCTGAGTGAGTCCCCACTCACACACTGGTGTGGTTCAAGGTGGGCTCATCTATGCCAATGCTGTATTGGGGTCCTTGCTCTGCCAGGAGTGGGGAGCTGCTCTTATAACCCATGGTGTGGGTGGTGGAACCCTCAGCACCCGCACTAACTAACAGCTCCTCCTGTCCTTGCACATCCGTCCTGCCATCTTTGATCACAGATCAGAACAGGGAACACAGCACAACCTCTCTTTTCACGTTGGGTTCTTAAGGCCCTTAAAGCCTTATAAGCCTGTGCAGTGTTTCCTTTGTTCCATTGGACAGACTCCAGATGCAATCAGCTTTAGGGAAATGACAGGCTTCCATTGACATTTCCTGTCTTCCTTTCTGATTGCATCTTCCTTTCTGATTGCATCTTCTTCTCTGATTGCATCTTCCTCTGATTGCATCTTCCTTCCTGATTGCATCTTCCTCCCTGATTGCATCTTCCTCTCTGATTGCATCTTCCTCTCTGATTGCATCTTCTGCACCGGAGGTGGGGTGGGCAGAGGGGGAGGGGAGGCTTCGTGGAAGATTAGATTTACTGGCCTTTGTTCTTTTCTTCTATTGTTTCTCCACTGAAACTCCTCTAATTTAATCAGTGATCTGGCTTCTGGGTTAATGGAATATTTGAAAAGTCCTCATCTTGTTTTATCAGGCAGGCAGATGCAGGATTTGCTGACTAGTCTTCTCAGGCAGTTTTAATTCTTTCTGCCCCTTAAAGGAAGTGTTTTCAGGGTCAGTCCTTGTCTCTGTTTTCTGGATTTCCAAACTTATTACAGTAATTCTCAACCTCCACAGGCTCACAAGCAGCAGACAAGCTCCTGATAGAACATCTCTCCTTATTCCCTGATCATTCTGGAGCTGAGGACTTTCTAGAGTTGTTTGAGAAGGCTGGAAGCTAGGCCTGGGCCATGCCCAGACAGTTGTAGGAGCCAGACAGGTGATACATACCCACCATTATAGTATCATACAGAATAGTTTCTCTGCCCTAAATTTACCCTATGCTCTGCCAAGTCATCCCTTCCTCCTCTATCCCCTAATAACCACTGATCCTTTCAATGCCTTCATAGTTTTCCCTTTTACAGTATGTCATATAGTTGGAAACATACAATATGTAGTGTTTTCGTACCGTATTCCCATAAAAAAGTCCTTAAAAATATAGTCTGCAGCAATCAGTGCCTTGCTCTCAACACATGCAAAAATGGGAGAGACCGTCAAAGAATTGTCTCTCACAGTGATGTCTTCTCTGCTGCCTGGAATTTGTAATGTACTAATAATAAAACAGGTAAATGTACATGTGTAAAAATACATATGTGTACACAAAACTTATTAGACCTGTGAAATTACAATTTCACACGCTCTAATTTGACAATTCCAGGAACACCTTAAAGTTAATTCCACACTTCTGTCAGCTACCACCAAATCTCTTGCTATTGAAACAAAATTATTTTTGAAAAGAAGAGGAAACAAAATAGGAAAAGTTCCTACGTTGAATTCATATAGGTAAAATATTTTTTAAAAAAAATTCTTGGTGATGAATTGACCAGCTGTAAAGTTGTACAATATTCTACCTACTGTCCATAAATTACAGGAAGAAGACGAAGCAATGTCACGGTTCATCCTTCACAGCCTGTTACTGCACAGATGGTAAGAGGTTTTGAATCACGTCCCACACAGAAATAAGGCTTCAGAACTTCAGAAAATGTATCAGTGAAGGAATGGATGTGAGACCTGTCGTTCAAATTGTAGAAGGAAATCTGGCCCAGCTCATAGTCCAGATAAACACCAATCCCTCTGGGCTTTTCCATCAGCAGCAGAGGGACTGGAACCGCACCTTGAGCCACATAGTCACCGTTCCGCAGCTGCACTGTCCAGCGTCTGTTCCGTCCCGATGGGGGCCGCTTTCCCTTCCTGGAAAGGGAGTCTTTACAGACCCCCACGGCCCATTTAGGCTTGTCCTCCACTCGGACCTCCCAGTAACGCCGGCCGGAATCGAATCCCTCAGAACCCAGGACGACTGGAGACGCTGTAAATCTCCTCGGATTCCGATGAACTCTTTGCTTTTTCTTCACGAATGGGAGTCTTTACAGACCCCCACGGCCCATTTAGGCTTGTCCTCCACTCGGACCTCCCAGTAATGCCGGCCGGAATCAAATCCCTCAGAACCCAGGACGACTGGAGACACTGTAAATCTCCTCGGATTCCGATGAACTCTTTGCTTTTTCTTCACGAATGTCACACACTTCTTATCCTCGGAGACAAGCAGATTAGGGTGTGCTGTCTCGGGGTCTAGAGTCACCTCTTCTCTAAACCTCTGCATAATCTTTCGAAGAGCCGCACTCTGTGGAGGCAGACAGCACGCTTCTCTCTTTAGCTGGAAGGAATAGAGTGCTGGAGGTTTCAGGCCTTCACACCTGCCCACGATGCTCCTGATGTCCCTCAGCAGCTTCACTTCCGACATCACACTCTTCTCGGCCACCTCCGTTAGCAGACCTTTGACAGTGGCAATGTGGTCTGAAAATGCTGTTCTGTTTGCACTGAGTTTCTGTTGAATGTCCTTCTCATCCTCAGCTAACCTTGAGAAAACTGCCCGTTGATCATGTTCTAGAAACTGAGTCAGGTGCTCAAATTCGCAGGACAATTTCTGTGCCTGGTTTTCCACCTTCTCTCTCAGTTCTAATAGTTCTCTGTCTTGGGCGGCCAGTAGTTTCTGAACGTCCGCCACTTGCTTCTTCAGGGGCTCCATGTAGCTGCGGAGCCTTTTCCTGTGATGAGAGGCGGCCTCCTCGAGGGGTCTCACGTGGTGGCCCTGGTGGTCAGGGGGCTGAGTGCACAGGGGACACAACACCTCTAGGTCCTCCTCGCAGAAAAGCGTCAGGACCTGGTTGTGCTTCTCGCACAGGGACAAATCTTCCTCCCTCTTCCTCTTGCTCCGGGTGATGTGGAGTAGCCTGGCGATGTCAGTCATCCTTCCCAGCTGGGTGTTGCTCCTGAAGGTCCCCTCTTGGCATTGGTGACGACAGACAGGGCAAGGGAAACTGTACTGTAGATTCTCCCAGGACTGTCTGATGCAGAAGTGACAGAAGTTGTGCCCACATTCGATGGTGACGGGGTCTCTCAGGTAATCGAGACAGATGGAGCACTTGGCCTCTGCCTCGAGTCCTGACAGCACTGTCGACAGGGCTGCCATCACTGCCATCAAGTGTGAATAAAAATCTGGACTGAGGTGGGCTTTCTTCAGGAGGTTGGCTCTGCAGTTACTCTCCAATGAGAAGCAGATGCTCCCTGGGATCTCACTGTCCTTCCTGTCCTAAATGCCCCCCTGTCACTTAAGGGCAGCCCTTGATGTCCTGAGTTACTGGCCTCAGTTGCAGAAGCAGTTGTCCAGAGGCGCTTTATTGCCACCTGCAGCTGGTCACGGAATAGTCACGAGTAGCTGCCAAGGGCAGAGAACGAGAATCCAAGCTCAGCAGTTCTCTTGGTCAGAAAGCAGACACCACTGTAGACTGCCTGGAAATGAGAAAAAAAAAATCCTTTATTTTAAAAAGGCCACCATTCGTCTTTTGGTCCTGCCCGCTAGCACGTTTGAGGCACCCACCGATTCTTCTCTCCACCCAAGGAATCTACCCATATACAAGTCAACAGCGCCGGGCTGCATGGGACTTCAGAAAGCCCGTAGGCTTTGGAACTAGATCCCCTGTGCCTGGGTTGGATCCCAGTCTTAGTACCTACTGTACCTTAGGACCTGGGTATATGTATTTTTAACTAGCATTTAGCTGTGTGTTAAAATAACGAGATCTGGTGTTAGAATTCCCTTGCGGGATGTGATCTCCCGCCTGGCACAGAGCAGGCGCTCAGGGAGCCACGGGTCTTACTACGCTCCAGCCTCCCGAACCCACATCATCCCATCTCCCTGCTTACCTGGAGCGGGAGGCTCTGCGAGGGTCTTGGAAGGGGCCTCTGAAAGGGGTCTCCGTAGCCAATCTTGCAGAAGACTGTGGCCGGCGGTGTGGTATATATGTACCGCTAGGAGGGTGGAGCTATTAGGTCCCCGCCCACCAAAGACCGGCGGCTCCTCCTTGCAGGAGGGCGGGCAGGGCAGTGGGTGGGAATGTCGGAGGTCTTGTGGGTGGGGAGGGAATCTCCTGTGATTGCATCAGGCCGGGAGGGCCGGGCAGTGTGTTAATATACATGATCTGATTTACACCTTTGTGATCCTCCTTTAATCTTCTCAAAACACTTTATCCTATCTTTGCCGATGAAGAAACTGAAAATCTGAAAGGTTAAATAGTTCTCTTCCTATGCTGGCCCAGGAATGTGTGACTCTGCAACCCACAGTTTAACCCTCTTTCCACTGTGAGGCGTCCAGCACTGTGCAGGACAAGGTGGGTCGACTTTGCCCTTCAGTGGCAGAGGTCTGGGTTGAGTCCATCACTTGGTTTCTGCTCCCTCCTAACAAGCTGTTACTTATTCCAGTGACTGCAGACACCCCCCATCAGCAGGGGGTGGTTTATGGAGACCAACTGTGGTGGGGCCTAAAGCACAGGAGGAGAATGTGTGAAAAGTCCTGTGATGGTTATTCTAGGTGTCAACTTGATTAAATTAAGAAATGCCAAGAAATCTGGTAAAGCTCTCTTTTTAGGTGGGTTATGAGGGTGTTTCCAGCAGAGATTAGCATCAGAGCCTGAGTGGACTGGGTGGGAAAGATCCGCCATCAAAATGTGCAGAAAACCTCCAATCTGCTAGGGCCCAGAGAGAACAAAAGATGGAGAAAAAAGGCAAATCTCTCAATCTGCTGGAACTGGGATACACTCTTCTCCCCTATCCATGGACATCAGAGCTTGAGACTCCAGCTTTTGGCTTCCGGGACTTACACCAAGGACACCATCGCCTTCCCTGGTTCTGAGGCCTTTGGACTTGGGCCCAGTCACACTATCGGCATCCAGTTTATAGAGAGCCTATCGTGGGACTTCTCTTCACAATTGCACGAGCTAATTCCCCTAATAAATCCCCTCTTGCGTATTTATAACATATCCTACTGGTTCTGGCTCTCTGGAGAAGCCAAGGAGACAGTTGTGCAGCTGTCAATGGTTCATGGTCCCTGAATCACTGTCTCCAGGAAGTGAAAGATCTGGACATAAGCAACCCATGGGAGGAAAAGAGACTCAGTACACCCCAGGATGAAGCAGGAATAACAACAACAGGAAAAATACCCAGAGCAGTGCACAGTTGTATATGGTGCTTCCGTAAGTGTCTTTGGCACGTGTGAGTTTGTAACTAGTCCACAGCAATCACAGCAACCTCAGTAACAGGAACACTTTGATTGATAATACTTTGTGCCAGGCCCTGTGCGCAGTGCTCTTAAGTTTATAACTTATTTCATAAAGATAGCAATAATTGTACTAATACCAACCACAAAGAAGTAACACTTAAAAAAATCACACTTGCTAGGTGCACATACTGTTCAAAATATTTCAAAATATATTGATGCATTTGGGCCAAGTGCTGTATGGGAGTCATATTTCCCCTGCTTAAAACTCAATAAAGGTGTTCCAAAATTAAAGCCCGAGTCCTCCCCGTGGCCCACAGAGCCCTGCACGACCTGCCCTGTGCCCTCCCTGCCCTCCGTCCTCCCTCTCTCCCCCTCCACACTCTGCTCCAGCCACACAGGCCTCTTTGCTGTTCCTCCCACACACCAGGCTCAGTCCTGCCCCAGGGCCATTGCACGAGCTGTGCCCTCTGCCTGGAACACACTTCCCCTTCATGGTGCATGGCCTATTCCTTCAATCCCCCATCACTTTCTCTGTCCACTTTTTCTAAAATTGTTCAGCCACCATTACCTTCTTTCTCAGCCTTCCTTTTTCCTCCATAGCGTAGCGCGTATACCCATTTTAAATTCTATTTCATTTTAATATGGTATGTATTTACTTGATATTGATAAACCACATAAATCTTTTTATGTGCCAGGCTCTGTGCTCATTTAATCCGCCCAGCAAACCCCTGATGTGGGTACATGTAAATAAATGAGACTTTTAGGCTGTGAAAAATGTGACAAAGGAAATAGAGCTACATTGGTGGGGGAATGGCTTTAGGGTGCAACTTCAGGGAGGGCTGCTCAGAGGGAAGGACCTTCAGGTTAGGATGTGACTGGAGCAGCCTGTGCAAAGGCCGTGGGGCAGGACACAGCCTGACGAGTTGGAGGACAAGCGAGGAGGCCAGTGGCTACAGCAGAGTGTGGTTGGGGGACAGGAATCCATGATGTGCTGGAGGGGATGGCTGCAGGGGCTCCACGCCATGCTCTGAACGGAGCAACTTACATGAAATATTCAAGTCACCATCAGGGCCTGAACTTGGGTGAGGCATGGAAGGTGCTCACTAAAAATTCAAGGGGGGGGACCGAAAAACTTAGACATCGGGATAAATAATATTTCACTGTATGGATAGACAACAGTTTATTTGTGGCCCATCCATGCAATGGAATATCACTCCGCCATGAAAAGGAACATGGCTCTGACACACTCAACCATGTGGATGAACCTTGAACACATCACGCTCAGTGACAAACGCCAGACACAAAAGGCCACATAGTGTGTGACTCCATTTATATGAAATATGCAGAACAGATCAATCCACAGGGACAGAAAGTGGATTCACAGTTGCCAGGGGCTGGGGGAGACAGGGGAAACAGGGAGTGTTTTGGGAGGGTGATGGGAATGCTCTGGAATTAGATAGTGCTTACAAAATCAGACAACTTTGTGAGTATACTAAAAGACACTAAATTGTTAAAGAACTTAAAAAAAATTAGGGTGAAGTCTTTAAAAATCAAAAGGAATGAGAAAATATTTATAATGAACAAAATATCAAAATTTTAAATAAAGATGGGATCAATATTACTGAGTTTTCCTTTTGGCTTGGCACTGCACTGTGACTGATGTCATTTTCATTTAAAATTATTCTTTATAATCTTTACTTTTATTTTAAATTTATTTATTCACTTTTTTGGCGCTGGCAGGTAAAGGGATCCGAACCCTGGGACCTTGGTTCATTTCATTTCTATGTCATTTGGTATTTTTCATCCCTTCTTTCCAGGTGGAGAAACTGAGGCAGAAGTGTAGCAGCAGGGGTGGAACCAAGGAGGGCCTGACTCCATTTGCCCCAGAGTTTCTCCTGACCTGAGTTACGATGGGGACACGTTCATCTGTTGTGGGTCTGCTCAGCACCAGGGGAAATGCCAGGCAGGATTCCACCATCCATCTGTGAGCCGGCTTTATCAGCCTCGCTGGGGACTGGTCAGAAATGCAGAATCTCAGCCTCCTCAAGATCAGAGGCATCGGAATCTGCATAGGGTTCCAGTGTGCATTACAGTTTGAGAAGCACCTCTCTGAAGTGTGATTGGACTCTGAAGGTTCTGGGTTCAAATCCTGCCTTTGCAAAGTGTGGGGATCTGGACAAGTCTGTCTGGAATGCTGCAACCTTGCCTGCAAACTGGGGAGAGATATCAGCACTTATTTCCTAGGATTGTTTGGCCTGGGGTTGTTTTCATTTCCTATGGCTGCTGTGACAAATGGCCATAAACTTGGTGGCTTAAAACAACGCAAATTTATTCTTCCCATTCCAGAGGTCAGAAGTCCCAAATGGGTCTCACAGGGCTAAAATCAAGGTGTGGGTGGGCAGGGCTGGTTCCTTCTGGAGGCTCCAGGGGAGGACCCATGTTCTCCTTTCCCAGCTTCTAGAGGCACCCACTGCCCTTGGCGTGTGGCTCCTTCCTCCGTCTGCAAAGCTGCAAAGCCAGCACTGCAGCATCTTCCAGTCTCTCTCTGACTCTGACCCTTCTCCTGCTCCTCTCTTGTGAGGACCCTGTGAGGACATTGCACTTCCCACGGAATCCAGGATGATCTCCCATCTCAAGATCCTTAATCCCATCTGCAAAGTCTCTTGCCATGAATGGTACCTGCTATGGGTTAAAAGTGTCCTCCAAACATTCACATATTGGAAACTTGATCTCCATGGTAACAGTGTTAAAAGGGTGAGAAATCAAATTGTGGTATATGTAAAGTGGGACCTTTAAGAGGTGATTAGATTGTGAGGACTTTGCCCTCGTGAATGGTTTGGTCATTCATGGAGTAATGGACATAGTTCTGATGACTTTATAAGGAGAGTGAGTGAGAAGGTTAGCTTTCATTGTCTCAGCCCGTTCTT